TTTCAATGCATTGAGAATTTGTGAAAAATTTGACACTAGATATCAGTATAACTTTCATCTGATGCTCCTGACATTTTTATTAAGCAACAAAATATCTGCACTTTGGCTGACTCTGCTAAAGAAATTTGAAATGGTAGAAATAGTGAAGAAATAATAGTGAAAAACATTTTTGCTCAGACATACAATACTTCTATAACGCCTCAAGCATGGGTGTGTGTTAAGTCTCTGCTGGATTTTTATTATTTGGTTCAACTACAATGAAATGTGGTTCTGTTTTTGCCTTGCCGCGGTGGTCTAGTGGCTAAGGTACTGGGCTGATGACCCGCAGGTCGCGGGATCGAATCCTGGCAACGGCGGCTGCATTTCCAATAGAGGCGGAAATGTAAGCCCGTGCGCTCATATTTGGGTGCACATTAAAGAACCCCCAGGGGGCCGAATTTTCCGGAGCCCTTCACTACGACGTCTCTGATAATCACATGGTGGTTTTGGGATGTTAAACCCCACATATCAATCAATGAATCAATCATGTGGTTTTGTTTTCTTCCTGTCGAGAGTCTCCTTTAGGCTTAATTACTGAGCCACTGCTATGACTCAGTAGTTGAGCACTTGTCCACTTTCCTGAAAGATGCAGGTTCAATACTGGCCACAAGTCACACTTCGATAAAGGTAAATTGCTGGAGGCTCATGCACATTGTGATGTAAGTGCACATTAAAGAAGTGGTGATATGAAATTCGTGATCTTCTCCTTGCTTTTAATCAGTGTCTACTCACTTGTTAATAGTGGCAATTAAACTTATTAGCCCAAATGTGAAATCAATGTTTAATTATATCCTCGTATATTATTATCAAGGGCACTTTTGATTTCAATGAGCATTTTGTGGTCTTGTGACCTAGTTGGCGGCCTACTTGTGAAAAAATACTTACAGGTGGTCAGGTGGTCGTGAATACTAGTGATGTCACAGGCCACCTTCAGCCATTTTGGCAGCACTGCTGTTTCGTCTGCTGTGTTGAGCTATGAGAGTGCTTGTTTCCTCGATCGTCAAACTGTGTTGCTTATCTAGTACAGCAATTTATGAAGGATCCGAAAGAAGGGTAAAAATTGGTCAGAAAAACCTTGATTCACTTCATAAATCTCATTAATGGCTGCGATTTGGTTTTTGTCATCGTTGTCCAACTGAGGCGGCCATTTTTGTAAAGCGTGGAGCTGCCCCAGTATTAGTTGTGCTGAAACATTTTCTCTCCGATCAAGTTGCAAATCAAAAAGTGAGGAAGCAAGCAGTGAAAGCACATTGTTGGTGCTCTGTAACAGTGTGTATGTGTAAAATGTAAGAGGCATGATGCACACCTTACAGACTCTTACTTAGACCGGGAAATGCTGCATTCTAAAAACATACCGACCCGATGAACGCATGTTGGAGCATCCTAGTAGTAATCTGTCGACTACTTAGTACGATCCTGGTAGTAGAGAGCTTTAGTTTGTCTGTAGACATCCTAATGTTTGTGGGATATCCTGTCACCAGAGTCATAGATCGCAGCAGCAGCAGCGGAGCTTGTAGCAACATCTTGTGGCATTTTGTCCAACTACGAAATAATTTTTTGCCGTTTTCTTAGTCACGTCACTGTTCATAAAACAAAAAAAAAATATAACACTAAGTTGATAATTATCTCACTCCCAATGTTTTACACTGTTGGCAAGCTTGTAAGTTACTGTAATGTTGTGTTTGTAGGTCTTTGGTTATACTCTGCATCATCAGGTGTCACTACCAGCAACACCTGATGTCTATTGTGTACTTGTCTCCTGCAACAGGCCAAAACACGTGGTGTACGTTGTTTACAAACTGATCAGTTTTTGCTTTAACTTCTCATTTGGCACTTTCATGAACTTCAAAACTCAATAAAATAATTTTTAGGCAGTATTTTAGGCTGATATTGTACAGTTCGCAGCTCTGTGTTCTCATCAGACTGATGTAGTGAAATTAAATTGGAATGTTTGTGTTGCCATTCTTTTAAGGAACATCAAGAAGCAGAAATTATCCACAGCCCTTTATTATAGCATTTTTCATAGCCTGAATTACATTGGGATGTCAAACGCCATAAATCTAACCTAACTACCCTGCTTGTCATATGACATTTTTGCTCATGCAAGTGCAGACAATTTTCGAACCAACCTTTTCTAAGAGCTGGACTAGCTCTGCCATCTCTTGCTTTTAGGTAGGTCGCCACCTATACAAATGCCTTTATTCATTACTATACTACAATGCTGTACAAAGGGTTCAGAGGCTCCACTGCGAGTTCATGGTGTAAGTGCAAGCCAACGCTTGCAGATATGAGCTGATCGAGCATAGTATTGAGCTTATATGGCGAGGCTTGTAGATGCTCGCCAATCAGATGCCAATATTCATGCCGATTCAACACAACAGATGAGGCGCTGTGGGAAATCGCAGAGGCATATTAAGAAATATCGGGCCACGCTTCAGTTACTTTGCATGTGAAGGAATTCACACTTTTGAACCTGTTAATGTTCTAATTGATGTCATTCCTCACTTGGTTTTATTGATTGACCTACTGATTTGTGACATGGCTCTAACTTGTGCTTGATAATTTTTTTTCACCTGTGGGCATGTCATGACCAGTAAATTCAATTGGTAATCGGTGCTCATGTGCGCCCCTTTGTCTTCTTTTATTCACTTTGCCGCCTTTCTTCCAGCACTTACATGTTCATGCTACAAGCTCTTGAAAATGTACATTAAGCAACTTGCCCACATTGCCATTCTTCCATTCTAAATACCAATAAATAGGCTACAGTTTTATGTGTTGTTGTGTGTGCTGCAGCCTATCTGTAGTCTATTTTCGACAGTAAGAAAAGCTGATAGATATTGAAAGGAGGGCACCATTTTGACAGGTCCTTCCTGTGGACCTTGCTCGTGCAGCATTTATTTTACCAATTACTTGCACCTTGCGTATTTACAAAAGTAAACTGGGAAGTGAGCACTATGTAAATGACTTGGTGAAGCAGTAATTAGACAAACCTGTACAAGATATTTTGCCATCATGGCACTTATCTTGGTACTGGTGTGAACAGCTGTGTGTGCGTTGTGGTTGCTGATGACATGTCCCTTCCACTTAAAGAAAAAAAAAGTGATGCTGGCTGGTGCAAAAATTAACAGCCCTGGAGGTTCCACAACATTGCTAAATCTTTTAAAAAATGCAAATAACAAGCATATGTCACGAAAAATATTTCTAGAATACCTTATGAAAACTTTGAAGTGAAATGGCAGAAAAAAATGTTAGAGAGGATTCTTGTACATAGTTTTTTTAGATATTTTCTTAAGCATTATTCTTGTGAGATAGCAAAATGAAAGCGTTTCTTTTGGCTATGTTGATGAAGCACTAATGGGGTGTCGTTTCGTTTGCCTTATCAAGAGTGAGGCAATGCAGAGGCCAAATTTTGTTTAGGCACATGATTTGGTGCAGCTAAAGCATTGCCAACACTACATGGAAAAGGCAAGGATACTATTTCTTCAGCCTCTCCTCCTCTTTCAACTTTTGTGGAAGCCCAACTGATGGAGAACAAGGGTCTGCTCCCTTCTAGTCCAGAGTTCCAAATCTGCCTCATAGGCATCAATATACGAGAATATATGAAAGTTTGGATGCTAAAAATCTTTCGAGTCTGATTTTTTAGACTTCTTGCCCGAATTTCAGGTCCAAAACAGCATTGAGCTCCTACCTCTGCCATCTATTATCTCCATGTTGGAATCTGTGTTTTCTTGAGTCAATACATTTGCGACTGTTGTGAAGCTTGAAAGGCAGCTTTGCCGCAATACATGAAGTCTTTTGTGAACTTAAGAGCATGTGGTAGTTCATGTATAAGAAAAAAAGAATGGGACCCAGAATTGATCTGTGTGGTACTCCACATATGACATCAGTGTAGATAGAGCAATATCTGTGAATTACTACCTACTGTCTACGTACATTGAAATAGCTTCGGATGAAATGAAGTGCGTTTTTTTTAGCTTTCAGTCTTGCATGACAGAGTTCGTATGCAGTACTTCATATGTGTGTGTTCAACAGACTGCATGTTCAGTCTGCTTGTGAATGAGAAGTCGCTCCTTTCAATTGCCTCTTTTTACCTGCTTTATCATGGTGATGACAGCATTGAAACTAAGAAACATGTCAGATTTCTGCTTGGTGTACTCATTCAAGAGGCATTATACGGGGCCTGTTCATGAAGTAATGAGATTAGGTGTGGTAAAAAAAAAATTATTGATCCAATCTCTGCATACTGCTAAAATTTTTCTCAATTGTTTCCTTGGGCATTGATACATAGACTACAGAATTTCCATGCTGACAAGACTCTCTCAAAGTTAGCTTCCATGACTTGTTTCAGAGACTAACAGCCAGTTGGATGGTGGGAACAATGTTGAAACTGTGAGCTTTCTGGCTTCCTTTTAGCATTTGTTACTGAAAAAAGTCTTCTGAGCTCACATCAGAGCTGATGCAGCCCTGGTACAGTCTTGATGTCAGCCCGGTAGGCTTCAGCCTTTTTTCAGTTCAAAAGAAGCCAGAAAAGTAACCATTTTAAAACCGGCTGTCAGTCTGACTTTCTGAGAGGCTTAACAGCAATGTAATTAACTCCATTTAAAATGTCATATCGATGCTCAAGAAAATATTTGAAAGAATTCTAATATGCACCAATCGAATCAATTTTTTTAGCACACCCAATTTTGCTGCTTTACGGCCAGACCCTGTGTCATGTCACTGCACATTCTTTCTAAAAAAATGTACAAAAATATTGCATTATAGCTAAATTTTTATTGTGTAAGTTGACAATGCAAATTATTTAGCAGACATTATCTGCCAACTGTTCACTTAAGTACTAGCTCTAAGAGTGGCTCTTTCGTGGTATATTTGGTGCCTTGCACACTATATTTTGACTTCACTCCCCTGTTCCTAAACTATATGGTACTGAAAATTTAGGCTTCTTTCTTGTCTGTTTTTAGCCATGCAACTCCACTATGGTGACCTAACGGACAGCTTGTGTTTGGTCAAGCTCATTAGGCAGACAAATCCCACAGAAATATACAATTTAGGTGCCCAGAGTCATGTAAAAGTGAGTACCGCATCTCATTCTGTTCACTTATCCGAGCGCAGCAGTCTCTTGTCATTCAGTAAGAACATGTTATGAGACTTTTTAATTTTTATCTGTAGGTCTCTTTTGACTTGAGTGAGTATACAGCCAATGTGGACGCACTTGGCACCCTGCGCATTTTAGAAGCAATCAGGGTGTGTGGTTTGGAGCACAAGGTGAAGTTCTACCAGGCTTCAACTAGTGAGCTATATGGAAAAGTTCAAGAGATACCACAAAAGGAGACTACTCCATTTCATCCTAGGTCGCCGTATGGTAAGTGATCCTAATCACTTGGTTCTTCTCTGTTATTTTATTTTTGTATGGGTTATTTTATAATAATCTTTCAAACTTTCTTGTGACTCCGTACCGAGTTTAAAATGGGTTTAATTTTTCTGTAACACTTTTTTCCTTTTTGCTAAGGCGTTGCAAAACTGTATGGATACTGGATTGTTGTCAACTACAGGGAAGCCTACAACATGTTTGCTGTAAATGGCATACTCTTTAATCATGAGAGTCCCAGGAGAGGTAAGCTTTTTGCCTGGATTATGTATGTTTAACTGTAGTAACCATTAGCTTGTGTGTGCTTTACTTTATAGGTGAGACATTTGTAACAAGAAAAATCAGTAGGTCTGTCGCAAAGATACATTTGGGCCAGTTGGAATGCTTTGAGCTAGGCAACCTAGACTCAAAGCGAGATTGGGGCCATGCAAAGGATTATGTTGAGGTGAGGCCTCCAAGATATTTTTTTATTGTTCTATTAGGGAGGAATACGTAGAGCAGCTAGCTGCAGATGGCAGCACAAATATGTGGAATCCGTTCTCTTTACAGTTTTGTTTTTGTTGTAACTGCCCACATCAGTTTTTTTTTTTAATTAGGATGGTAGTCAATGAGTTGTATGATTGCCACTGGCTATTAATAAAATAATACAAGTGTGTTCTTAATTCAACTTTGACCAACATGTACTTCAATCTTTTTTCAAACTTCAGTCCATGTACAGCTGTTAGTACATTTAAGGATCCCTGACAGTGAGTTTTGTTTGAGACTCTTTAATTGTAATCGGTACCTTTGCTTCTGGTAATACAAAAATTGAATCGTAAGTGCTTTAATTCATGAAATAGTTATTGCTAGCATCAATAATTCAGAACGATTTTGCATCGCATCAGGGTGATACACCCACTTAAATACCTTAAGGAACTAGCACCCTACAGTGGGGCAACTCCTGAAACTACGTGTGTGCGCTCAAGCTAGCTTCGTAGACGCTGAACTGATCGCACTGTTTTCAAATAGGGGGACCTGGGGGTGGCAAATAATGAAACGATTTGGGTGCTTCGAGCATGTCCCCCTCAGAAAGAAAAGCAATCCTGGTGTATGCACTTGTAACCACCTTGGGAGTAGCCCGACAAGAGCGAGAGGGGTGACGAATCCTCACTGGGTGCCAATCGGGCTATTGTGCACACTCTAAATGTTTTCTCCGACAGAGACAACACTTGCTAAACCTCTGCAACATTTCAAGGGCTCCCTGTCTATGTCAAACCACAGAAAATGTTGATTCGACCAGAATATTTGGATGAACACTCACCCTTACTTCAATACAAAATTAAAATATTATGGCAAGGCTTGTCACTGATAATCGGTCAGAAGTGCCCCCGCACGCACGACTCTCAAACACAAGCATCTTGAGTTTCCAAATTTGGTTTCAGGGGTCTAACTCGAATGCTCTGCAGCGTGGCCTCGACTTTCTTTCACTGATGCCAGCGCCTCCAAGCGTTGGACGTGGTACGCTTGCTGCAGCTAATGATAGATGAAGCATGAGTCGATTTTACTAGTAAATTTCTGTTTCACTTTGTTTACCAGAACATTAAACTTTGTAACAATATAAGTGAACATAGTTAAAGCAAAGGAAGCTCTCCGTAACCTGCATCTCTTAGTACGAGAATATGGCTTCCAGGTGAGCTGGGATTACCAGAGTTTTGTGCCTTGAAAAGTTGTTACAGCTATTATAGAGACAGTAATAATATAATTAAGTAATAATTTTTTTGTGTGGGCACTGTAACGGCTGGTTGCACTATAATCACGACTTATTGAAACATACACTTTTAAAAACTATGCATCCTTTCATTTCTGTTTGACAGTACTAATGGTTTGGAAGTTGACTGCATTGACTGTGTGTTGGAAGTTGACTGCGTGTGTTCAGTAGTAAAGGAGTAGCCTTAATAATTGATAAGTACCACTGTTCAGTGCAATCTCCTTGAATGGGACCTGTCTGAGTATGCAATGCTTGCAGAAATGGAACCAGCCCACATTCAACAAGCACTGGCTTAGATGTGTGGGCCGTTGTGATGCATCACTTGCACATCCAATAATGGCATGTACAGGAAAACAGCACAAAGATATACACTCGTGACACTTGCACCGTTCTGTTCAACTGCTGTGTCAGTTGCATCAGGGAACTCGAATTTTCGTTGCTTGGGAAAAAACTGAATGTACAGTCTACCACAAAAGTTTACAGACCACGCGAGCGCATGGCCGAAAGCCTCTTCGCGGCACTTCTGCTACGTCAGCGACAGTCGACAGCACCGCAGTGCCCTGAATGCCTCCTGTAATCGATGACCTGTCTCTTTTCTGACTGGGTACAAATTTTTACCTTTCGCATTTCAACGTGACAAGATTTTGGCATCTGTGTCTACGAGCTTCTGCCTTGACAGCAGTCTGTGAGCGCAACTGTTATCACTCGCAGTCTTTATCACAAAGTGACACCTAGCCAACAGAATTTCATTTGAGGCACACCGTGATAGTTTTGATCCTCCGATTAAGACAGCAATGTGATGGTCTTACTGTAGATAAGCTCTTCCCATAAAAACTGCGAACTAACAATGCCGCAACGTTTGACATATGTTGCAGAAAGTTTCGCTGTATAGCTGTAACAAGAGGGGCACTCATGAAGGCAGAGGGGAAAAAAAAAAAAACCTTAAGATTTGGCAGGTTTTTTTTCCCTGTGCCTTCGTGAGTGTCTCCCTTGTTACAGTTATAGCTATGTAGCGAAACATTCCGCAACATATGTCAAGCTTGTACCAACTAAACCAAAGGAGTGTTTTATTGAGCTGCAACGCTTGAGAGCCTCTCATAGTCATCTAAAATTAGGTTCATAAGTTCATCAAGGTCTCCTTTGTGTTATAAAGCAGTTTTTTTTTTCAAATAAGCAGGAAAAACTGTTTTTGATACATCCTGAATTAAAAAAAAAACTACCAGTTCTAAAAACTTCTGTATTGTGCATACAACAATAAACAGCGCTATAGCATTCATCAATGTGTCAGGATCTAACGATGGTTGAGAGAATTAATCCGGAGTTTAACGTCCCAAAACCATGATAGAATTAAGGGAATGTGGGCTCCAGAAATTTCGGCTATCTGGTGTTCTTTAATGTGCACTGACGTCACACAGTACACAAGCTTCTATCATTTGAGCTCCATCGAAATGCAACCATTGCAGCCGGTATCGAACCTGCGACCTTTGGGTCAGCAGCCGAGCACCATAGCTGGTACACCACCGCGGCGGACCAAAGAATAATTTATCTTCATTTGTTGTGAAGTGCCATTGGTATGATTGGAAGTAACTCTAAAACAAACCAAGAAAAGAGCTCTGAACAGAGACTGTTTTATTTTTTATGGAAGAAGTACACTTTCTAATTGCAGATGCACTAACTCTATGACGGTGCCAAGAATTAGTATTACTATTCGTGGATGAGTGCTATGTGTTTCTGTTTTAAGTGGTGCTGAAGTGTGAGTGTCTGTAGTATATATTTATCTTTTTTGTTTCAGGCTATGTGGCTAATGCTTCAAGAAAAGGAGCCAAGTGATTTTGTGATTGCCACTGGTGAATACCACAGCGTTCGTGAGTTCGTCGAGGTGGCCTTCAAGCACATTGGCCGAACTATTGTGTAAGTGTATTGCAGCCTTTTTTTTTCTAGCGATTGTTGTGCTTTGTGAAATTTGGAGCGCTACTATGAAATGTAATCTAGGACGTATAATTCTTGCTCCTTTGTTGACCATTTGCACCAAAAATAAAATCCCGTGCTACACTGCAACATATGGGAAAATTTTTTACAAATATAGGCACTTGGCTTAGTTTCAGTTTCATTCATAGGCAATCTTGTCTTCTGTGTGGCTTTAGTATGACCATAGCGTTTTTTTAAGTTAGTGATAAGTGGGGATATCCACCATGTAACAGTTGTAGTGAGCTTTACAACTCGTTATTGTGCACCAGAAAATTTCAAAACTGGAAAATGGCCAGAAGTGCAACTGTCTTTTTATTCTGTATGTCGGCAATAAAACATACATTTGTGAAATTGTAAAGGCTGTCGTGGAGCACACCAGCCAGCTTGTAGCCAGCCATGCAGCATTAAAAATTGCCAGAAATGGGCAGTAAACTTTGAGGCTTTTTTGTGTGTTTGCGTGTTTTTATTATTAGCCTTTGTTGCCATTGCAATGTACTATCACAGATGAACAATCGTAGGCCAATGTGTTCTATTAAAATTTGGAAAATGTTGAGGTTTTTACATACATATTTACGCTTAACTTGATTGGCGTCATGTTGCTGTGAATTGCATTTACTATTTTTAAAAGCAGGACAATGCTGGTTTTTACAGTGCAGGTCATACAACCCAGTATAATGTGCTTATAATGATACCATATGATACTATATGTGATGTATGGCTTATAATAATGAAATTCTTCATATTTGTCATTGTTCCCATTGCCTCAATATAAAAGCAAATGATGTGTTATGATGCGACTATCAGCAAAGCATCACACATAATGGTCGAGTTCTGATCGGCCAAAGAGTGCTGTACACGACAATTTCAACAGTCAAAGCGAGGACAGGCAAATGGAGAAAAGAAGATGGTTGATGCATGCTGTGAAATGAGATTTCCAGAAATATACAACAGTGCTTAAAAGGCTCGCAAGAAGTGCAGGTGCTGGTAGTGTTCTGTGAGGATTACATAAGACTATTAAGACATAAAACTGTTACGATTATATGAGCACAGAAATTTTTAAATAGTAGTAGGAAATGAGTAGATATTTTCTGGTATGGAACTGCAAAATGAACGAAATAACTGAATGACTGATTAAGAGACACAAGGGGGGGTTGGAAGACCAGGCTAAGACTCTCGAGCACACTTCGAACAGATCTCCAGCTCATCACACTATAGTGAAGCGTTCTGACGATAACAAAACCAGAATAGAAAAACAGATTAGAGTGCAAACCCACAACACATGAGGCGTACAATGAACCTTTCTCTTTGGCTGAACTGCAAGCCTCACTTATCTGCTGCAATAAATCTACCCCAGGCCCGGACTGTATGGAATATGAAATGTTAAAACACCTGCCCACTGAAACCCAGAAAGCTCTCCTCTCCCTGTATAATGCGATGTGGTCTTCCGGAAAGCTGCCCTCAGCCTGGAAGGAAGCTATCGTTATTCCAATTCTAAAACAAGGCAAAGACCCTGCCTCAGTTTCCAGCTACAGGCCAATGGTGTTATCCAGCTGTCTTTGCAATGTCTTTGAGAATATGATTAACAGGCGCCTGATGCACTTCCTTGACATTTATGGCCTACTTAACTCATACCAGTGTGGGTTTCGAGAGGCTCGGTCCACCACTGACCACCTTGTCCGTATCGGGGCACAAATTCACGACGCTTTTGCTCATAAGCAATTTTTTTTTTTTTTGTGTGTTCCTCGATATGGAAAAGGTATATGACACTACATGGTGCTTTGGCATATTGCGGGACCTGCCACATTCAGGTGTGCGGGGTAGAATGCTGACAATCATCGCAAGCTACCTGTCCAACCGTACATCTCGTGTCCGAGTTGGCACTGTCTTATCTCGAATATTTGTCTAAGAAACAGAAGTGCCACAAGGAGGTGTATTGAGCTGCACATTTTTCATAGTTAAAATTAATTCCTTGCACCTGTCTCTCCCCCGTAATATTTTTTACTGCAAAATATGTCGATGATGTACAGATTGGTTTTTTCAAATCGTGCAACATCTCAATGTGCCAACGCCAAGTTCAACTATGGTTGAACAAGGTATCTCAATGGGCAGATGAGAATGGTTTTAAACTCAACGCGCAAAAGAGCACTTGGGTCTTGTTCTGCCGAAAGAGGGGCCTCCATCCTAACACCGACATTGATCTGCATGGTCAACCTCTGTCAGTGAAGACCAAGCACAAGTTTCTTGGACTAATATTAGACACAAAAATAAGCTTCATCCCACACGTCAAGTATTTAAAAGACAGGTGCTTAAAAACAGTGAATATTTTGAAAGTGTTGTCATGCACTATGTGGGGCAGTAACAAGTGCTTGATGAATTTATACAAAAGCCCGGTACCCACACGCTTACATTATGGTGCTACAATCTATCAGTCAGCAACACCATCAGCCTTGAAGATTCTAGACCCTGTCCACCATCTAGGCACTCTCCTCTCTATGGGTGCGTTTCAAGCTAGCCTTGTGGAGAGCCTGTACTTGGATCGAATGAATGGTCGCTCCACCTACAAAAGTGTTACCTATCTTTTTTGTACTTTCTGAAGGTGAAGGCAGATAAGAAACACCCCTCTCATTTCACAATTAATGATTTGTCTTGTTCTGGCTTGTTCGAGAACCGTCCTTCGTTGAGGTAGCCCTACTCGCTCCATGTAAGGGGCCTGGCCGAAGAAACAAGTGTGCCTCTTCTCGAACACAGTTTGATGGCTCCTGCAGCATATTTGCCACCATGGCAGTGGCAGCTTATAGACTGTGATATCTCTTTTGTTAAAGTCACAAAGCACGCACCACTTTCACACATACATACATACTTCCTAGAACTACAACATAAATACACATGCCCTTAGTTCTTTACCGATGCCTCAAAGTCCAACACTCCTGTGTCATATGCAGCGGTAGGCCAACTTTTCTCTTCATCCTGATCCAAGCATTTTCACAGGAGGAGTTTACACAATACTGGCGGTCGTGAGACACATCAAACAGATAAAATTACAAAAGGTGGTAATATACACAGATTCCCTAAGTGTAGTTAACGCCCTGAAAACTCCTAAAAAACACAAGAACCCTGTGCTTGTGTCACTTTGCTCTGTGTACACTGTACACATCAAAACAGCATGTCGTTGTCTGCTGGGTGCCTGAGCACCATGAGATGCAAGAGAACGTTTTGGCCGACAAGCTGGCTGCTTCCTTCAACGACGCTACTTCCAAAGCATCAATACTAATCCCTGCACTTGACTTGAAACCTTTTCTAAGACGAAAGCTCAGGGGGTATTGGCAGAGCACGTGAGATAGACACACAGAAAATAAACTCCATGTTATTAAGCAGCAACTAGGTAATTGGCTGCCACTATCAAAATTGCGACACACAGAAGTAACTCTTACAAGGCTAAGAACAGGACATACACACACTACACATGCATATCTTCTGTCCACCGGCGATCCACGATTGTGTGAGAGATGTGGAGAACCGTAAGTGGTTCTCCACATTCTCGTCCAGTGCAATGAGTTGGATGCTCTTAGAAAAAAGCACTTTTTATTGCCCTACCGACAGCAGCTTCCACTACACTCTGGAATGCTCATTAGTAGGGATCCACTTTTTAAACTGTAATTGCTTTTCACGTTCTTAAAAAATGTTCATAGCTTTCACCCCATATTTTGAGGTAATCCGTAGCATGACCTCTGTACCATGGTCGTGGCTGTGATGACTACATCTCCGTCATGGTTTTATTATCATGACATTTTGCCATCCACTTTCACTGCACATATCTCACATCACTGTCATGATTTTATTACTTCTATGTTTTTACCCGCGTCAGCGCGAGGAATTTTAAGGCCCCTTTACAGCCACGCATCATATCATTGTTCATATCTCCAGTCTATTGAAATGGCGCTCTTTGGCGATCAATCAGCCTTTGTCATTAAATACCACTCATCATCATCATGAGTTTGAATTAAGAGGCTTTCAAATTGCATTGAAAGAATAGAGCCAACCAAAAAAATTTAATTTGGTTTAAATTAACCAAAAGTATGAATTATCGAGGATCTGCTGTAATGCACTACTGTGTTGTGTACCATTGATATGATATATAAGGGCTCCCAATGCACTGGAATTCTGCACTCAAGCACAAGAAATGCAGGCATATTGGCCAAGCTTCATCATTTTGTCTTCAATTCAGTTTTTTAGAGCTTCTGTGGTTAGTATATTGACATCAAGGATTTTAGTATTCTTCAATTTCAATCAGTTCTGACGAAATTCGAAAATGGTTGCCAAAAATTTTGAGTAGACACTAATGATTATTTCATAACGGTCATAAACATTTCCATCTGTGAAGGCTTATAGTTCAGTGCCTGTTCACAGCATCTCTGCAGAGCAGTCTACATTTCAATAAGCAGTCAAAAACTTGATTGATAAGACACGTCTTACTAATTTCCTTAGCACATATTTTTGTTTTTAGATTTGACAGTACTACTTCTGAAATTTCAAATTTGGCAGGCCTATTGGAGTCATGAAAATTTGCTGTGTCTGTGCAAGAGATGGAAAGTGTAAAATTATAAACGCATTCAGAATCAATAAATTTTATTGTAATCTGTACAAAGGTTTCATAGTGATGTTATATAGAAGGAGGTCCTAAAGTCGGACTGCAATGGAACCTCCTTTTCGAAATACACACTACAAAATGTGAAAATTGAAATGACTGAAGTTTAACAGAAATAAATTGAACTAGAAAGACACACAAAGTAGGAAGAACGAGGTGATCAATAACAATACAATGAACAATATTAAACTGACTTGAAAGTTAGACATTGAAAAAATAAAATCCTTTTTTTTTAATTCAGGAATTTTAAAAGTTTTGATTTCTATGGGTACAGAATTACAAACGATGATAGGTGAGA